TTATTCTAGAAAGTTCCGTCTTATGCGTGACCCAGAGCCAAAAGAAGCTTCATTACAGATCAGATGGGGGGGTGAGCTTGCCTGGAAGGCCGTGTGGCCCAGTGGCTCTGGCCCTTTCTGATTGCAAGGATTTTTAAAAGTGAGTTCTTGTTCTCTACACGTGATAGCTGTGTGGCGAGGATCTGCTGGTGATTCCCACAGCAGGCCGCTTGAATTCAGCAGCTCTTAGGGTGCTGGTTATATCGGTGATAACACGCACATGAGACTGTTAACACTTTTGTCTGTACTTAAACCATCCGTAATCTTCACAGGCAGATTGCTTGATGGTTCTCGCTTGGCTGACTGCCGACTTCTCTGTTCAGCAGACGCGGTGCTGTTAGTATTAATGACTAATTACATAGCTCCAGATGTTATAATCGTGTTCATTGCCGGTGGCGCTCTGCCAGCAACAGGTGAATGTTTAAAACTCTTAACATAGCTGTCAAGTTGCTCCCCCCACCCTCCTGTCACCCCCATAACTCTACCTGAGAAAGAGCTGGCTGGAGCAGGTGTATTTAGACACGAACTGCGGATGTCCTCAGCTCTGAAACCAGTCCACCAGCCCCGAGTCGGGGCCAGCTCACAGAGGTCCTGTGGGGCGGAAGGGACTGCCCCGTGGCTGCCATGGCGTGTTCTGTATGGAGCAGGAACTTGGTTGTAGTGGATACTGTGTCCAGATGTTAGCCAGATCCAGCGGTGTGAATGCAGGGAGGCTGAGCAGACTCCTTCAGCGACGCTGTCCGGTCTCAGAAACCTGACAGAGCGGCGCTGTGAGACGGTCCTGACTGGAGGGCAGTGGGCTTACTCTCTACGGAAGCAGTCGGCCTCATTGGTCTCCCACAGAGCCGCGAAGTGCCGGAACCACAGTGCCAGCAGACTCAGCTGTCCGGTTGGAACTGGCTCATCACTTGTCCTCCCGTGGCCTTTCATGTGAGAGGAGGTTGCCCGTCTTTTCCCTGCAGAGCTGGTGGACTCCGGCCTCACGCCTGCTGTTGGGTTTGGCCACGCATCTCCTTCTAGAGTTGAGCAGCCAGACTTTTAAAGGCCTTTGCCTTTTGTTACTGAGACCTACACAGTGAAACACACTCGTTATTTCTGGGTGTAGAGTTCAGCCGCATGGATTGCATTCTTCTGTCTGTGCAGCCCTGCTCTCCTCAGTTGTTCATCCCAGATGACATACATTCACTTCCCTCTAAGGCTTCTGCTAGTAAAGTGGCTGCTGCCGTTTTGATCCCATATGTTATGTGCCATCGAGTTGCCTGAGACTCGTAGTGAGCCTCCGTACACCTCTGGAGCCTGCCCCATCCCAAGCCAGTCTCACTGACTCCAGCACACCCCATTACCCCAGTTACTGGTTCAATCTGTCTTGTCCAGGGCTGACTTGTTCTGCACTGTCCCTCCACCCTTCCAAGCTTAGTGTCCTTCTCCAGGGACCAGTCCTTCTTGGCTTTTGTGCCCAAAGTATGTGAGACAGAGCTTCAAAGTCCTAGCCTCCAAGGAGAAACTTGGTTTCTCCCTTTCTAAGACAGACCTGTTGGTTCTCTTGGCAGGCCATGGTGTGTTCAGTACTCTTCTTCAGCACCACAACTCAAAGCCATCAATTTTTCTGTCCTCCTTAGTTATTGTATAATTGTAATTAGTAATTGCTAAGACCGTGGCCTGGTTCCTTTTCAGTACTCTCGAGAGGTCCCTGACTGCGGATTTCCTCAATGCAATTTATCAATTTGATCCCCATATAGATGTTAAAAGAGCACGGCGCTCAAGGCAGACAGCTTTTACAGATAAACTGATGTTTGGTTTTAACACTTGAGAGTGTACTTTTGATTTAACATTTAAGTATCTCAGAGCTATAGTTTCAGGAGTCATACAGTGCTCTTGGGCCAGGAAACCTGGAGTCCATGAGAGTGTGGAATTCTCTTTTTGATCAGGATTCATCTGTGGAGTCTTTGGTCAGAGTGTTCTGTAATGGTAGTGGGCACCAACCAGCTTTGGTCTCACAGTGAAGTGATTCCGTCCTCCAACACGTGGTTACCATTGCACAAGCACTTGAATCCCAGTCAGTCAGGGTGTTTGGGATTTCATACCCTCATCCTCTCTCGGGAGGCACTCAGTACAGTGCCCTGAGGGGGCAGTGCTCCTGGCAGAGAGCTGTGGTTTATAGAGAATGTTGAATGCTTCAGGTTGTTCCAACGTGGGTTTTGTCTTTAATTTCTGGGATGGAGGTAAATTTAGCATTAGCACTAATAGCTCTTGATTTTTTAACTTCCTGGAATTCCAGACAGAAAGTCTGTTTATGTTTTTGGAGTGGAATATTATATCAAGGATTCTGGGGCTTCGTCTGACATACTTTGGACATGTTGCCAGGAGGGACGGGTCCTTGGAGAGGGACATCATGCTTGGGAGGGTG